ACGGAAGCTGTATTCAAAATATTTCATATACTAAATACTGCAATAGTCTCTGCACGTATAAATGCTGATTATAATAGTTTTTGCTTTGATTAAAAGTATCTTAAGCTAACATTAAGTGCACTAAAATGCACAACAGTTCAGAAATCTATGACCTTTCAATAAAGAAATCCAAAATGTACAACTATAAAACAAGAAACAATTACTGCCATGCAAGAAAATGCAATTTAAAACAGCAAGTTCAAATATATTTAACACTCAAAGGGTCAGCAGCGAGTTCTGCCAACAATAGACTTAAAAAAGAAAATACATTATCTTTGCTTGTATAAATCATATCTTCAAATCTGAGAGCAAGCCGTCTGTCCTCTAGTTTAAGAGATTAGCTCTTTTACAGTTGTTTTAATGAAATCTTTCCTCTCAGTTAAATCGTAAGCGGGATAGTTTTCATATACCTCTTTGCAAGTCTGCTTCATTGTGACTTCTTCCAAGGTAGCATCAGCCAGTAATTTCTTCACTGTTTCCTTTAATTCTTCATCTGTAGGTGGTTTTTTCAATTTTTTTAATTAATGGTTCATCATCAGAACTATCTTCAGATTCAGATTCCTTTTTGGAACTGTTTGATTCTTCTTGGTGGTGCTGCTGTCTGCCTTCTTGACATTAGCACATTAGCACTTTTTACAGACTTGTTACCTTCAGCAGCAGCTTTTTGTTTTGCCTTTTCTTTTATAGCTGTCTTTTTTGGTGGTTGTTCCTTTTCATTTTCTTTCTCTTCATCTTCTAAAGACTCTTCCTTATTTTTCTTCTTATTTCAGGACATTTGGTTTGCTTTGACTTCCTTGTTGTTCCATTCCTTTTTTTACTACCTTTGCTTGAAGATTTTTTTGGATTTTGGCAATGGTTTGCCAGAAGGCTTTGGATGCATTAAGAAATTCAAGATCCTCTTCACTAGTTTGATGTTCATGCCTGATCTCGCTACATCAAGAACCTCACAGATGCTCTTTAACATGGCATTTCTAAACTTTTTCATCATTTCTTCCTTCTTTTTATACTGGGTACTGTCATTTTCAAATGGAAAGCCACTGAACTGACCCACATTCTTCTTTAATGAGGACACTGTGCCTGATCTGTTGAAAAGCAGTTTGTGTAGATTTCTAAGTTCATCTGTTTTTTTTCTTTCTCAGAAAGAAACGTATCCTTTCAATTTCACAGTTTCTGACTCTTCCCTTGAGCAATTGTAAATGGCTCTCTTTGTAAGGAAGACACTTGCATTGTCAATCTTTCTACTTTCTTCTTTTCTCTCTTGCCTTCCACAGTGAGACTCTTTTTTTTTCCCCCCCCCCCCCCCACTTCTCCCTCTGGTCCCTGGGGCCTGGCATTTAGGTAAGCCGGCTGCTGTGGTGGGTGGTCCTCTGCCTCCACAGCAGGGGCCTCAGTCTACATGCTGCTGGGGACCGTGGGTGCACACCAGGAGGCTGAGCTTGGCTCCTCAGAATCTTTAAATCTTTTTTTTTTAAAGCAACTACAGATATCCCTGTTTTAAAATATGGTTAATTTGTTGGCATATGTTAAGTTTTTATAT